TGTCTTCGCAGGGAAACCTGTCCCTCTCGAAGATCCTGATGATGGGCCGGAACTCGGAGCGCTATAAGGATCCTCTTGATCACGGGCCAGCGGCACTGGAGATGCTACTGAAGGATGCTGTTGTGCAGGAATTTCTCGACGAGCAGGAGCCGCCAGAGTCCGAACGGAGGGAAAGCGTGCCGTTGGAAACGACGACTACAGCGGAGACGTCGCAGCCTGGTATCTTCTCGCGCACCTGGAACAAGTTCGCGACATCTGTCATGCGTCGAGAGCCTAATCCGTTCTACTCCAAGCTGAAATTCTCGCGAGCATACGACGAATTGGATCCGAGGACAATGGCTCGGGAAGTTGTATCGGCCGCCGAGCAGAGAAAGCGGGCTCAACGCGACTACCTAATGCGCCACCCCAGTTACAACAAGTCATTGTTCATGTTCGCGCCGGATAACGCAGTCCGGAAGTTCTGCCAGCGTATGGTCGGTCCCGGACGCGGCACCCAGCGAGTGGAGGGTGTCGACCCATATAAGCCCGTATGGTTCACCTTCTCTGCTTTCATCTATGCCGCCATTGTCGCAATGGTTCTGCTGGCCTGCATTACTACTCCGATCTACCAGAGCACTCACTTCCAAAATAACCGAGACTGGTTCACTTACACGGACATGGGCTTTGCGATCTTGTTCACGATCGAGGCACTCATCAAAGTCATTGCTGATGGGTTCTTCTGGACGCCTAATGCGTACTTCCGGAGTTCATGGGGTTTTCTTGATGGTATCGTCTTGATAACTCTTTGGATCAGTGTTGGAGGTTCGTTGTATCAGGACTGGGGTCTGACCCGGGCAATTGGGGCTTTCAAAGCACTCAGAGCTCTGCGACTGTTGAACGTCAGTGATAGTGCCAAGGGTACTTTTCATTCGGTCATCATCGTTGGAGGATGGAAGGTCATTGCTGTAGGTTCACTGCCGACGAGGATGGTTGCAAATGCTAATGTTGTTAGGCTGCTGCGGTCTCGATGAGTTTTCTGATCCCCTTCGCTATTTACGGGGTCACGCTTTTCGCTGGGCGGATGGTCCAGTGCAATGATGGCGATGTAGCAGGTAGCTTGGATGCCTGCATCGGCGAGTATATGAGCTCGCCTTCCAACTGGGATGTGCTTGCGCCTCGAGCTGCTGCTAACCCCTACTACGACTTTGACAATTTCGGAGACTCCCTCTTCATTCTGTTCCAGATCGTCTCCCAAGAAGGGTGGATCGATGTGCAGCAGAGTGCAATGAGCATTGTGGGGGTCGGACAGCAACCTCAGGACTACATTGCGCCGGAGAACGGGCTGTTCTTCATCGTGTTCAACTTGCTCGGTGCCGTCTTCGTTCTGACTTTGTTCGTGTCTGTTTTTATGCGCAATTATACGGAACAGACCGGAGTGGCCTATCTTACTGCGGAACAGCGTTCGTGGCTGGAGTTACGGAAGCTGCTGAGGCAGATCAACCCTTCCAAGCGGTCCTTCGACAACAAGACTAAAAAGTGGAAGATGTGGTGCTACCGCGTGGCTGTCAAAAAGCACGGCCGATGGGCAAGGTTTGTAACTTGCATTCTTACGCTTCATCTTCTGCTCTTGGTCTTGGAGTTCTACCCGGAGCCCCATCTGTGGAATTCGATCCGACAGATCTTGTTCTTTGCGTTCAACATCGTCTACATCGCCAATGTAGCGATCCGAATCCTTGGCCTTGGCTGGCACCGATTCAGCAGAAGTTCCTGGGACCTTTACTCGTTGATCTCGGTACCTGGAACCCTGATCACGACCATCCTCACCTTTGCGAACTCAGGCCATGTCGTCTCGGAGCTGAACAAACTCTTCCTTGTGTCGATTACACTGCTGATCATTCCTCGCAACAATCAGCTCGACCAACTGTTCAAGACAGCTGCAGCCAGTTTCACGGCGATTGGGAATCTGCTAGCCACCTGGTTTGTGCTGTTCCTGGTCTTCGCGATCGCAATGAACCAGGCGTTTGGCCTGACCAAATTCGGCTCTCAAGAAAGCGACAATATCAATTTCCGCGACATCCCGCGCGCCCTGATCCTCCTCTTTCGGATGAGTGCCGGGGAGGGATGGAACGAGGTCATGGAAGACTTCGCTACCATGGAACCGCCCTACTGCACGTACAGCAGCAACTACTTCGATGATGACTGTGGCAGCGCACCGTGGGCTCGCTCGCTCTTCATTGCGTGGAACATCATCAGCATGTACCTCTTTGTTTCATTGTTCACGTCTCTGATCTTCGAGAGTTTCTCGTACGTGTATCAGAAGAGCAGCGGGCTCTACGCCATCAGCCGCGAAGACGTCCGACGCTTCAAGCACGCATGGGCTACGTATGATCCAGATGGCACGGGATACATCACCAAGGAGCAGTTCCCGCGTCTACTGGGAGAGCTGTCCGGTATGTTCTCCATGCGGATCTACGACGGCGAATTCACGATCCCGCAGATTCTGGAAGAATGTCGGGTTGACCGGCGCGACTCGCTCCTTGCGCATCGGAGAGTGGTCGAGGGGCTTGATCTGGATAAGATGTCTCGCATCCTGCGGCGCATCCCGGTCGAGAATATCCGCAAGCGACGACAGCAGCTCAACTCATTCTACGAGGAAGTGTTGGTGTCTGCAGACCCGGTGCGCGGCATCTCGTTCCACTCGTGTCTCATGATCCTGGCGCATTATAACGTGATCAGCGACAGTAAAAGTCTCCGGCTCGAGGAGTTCCTGCGCCGCCGGGCCCGCCTGCAACGGGTGCAGGAGACCATCCGACGGCAGACGGTCATCGGGTTCTTCGACACGCTCTACTGGTCGCGGCAGTTCCGCCGCAAGGTGGAGCACAAGAAGTCGGCCCGGATGAGCGCGGTGCCACAGTTCTCGGTGCCGGAGATCTTCGTGGATGACGGGTCGCAAGACGAGCCCACGGCCATCACCAACGTGGCCCCTGGCCCTGCCGATCCCTTCGGTAGTGGTGAGGAGCCCCTCCAGCCGATGCTGTTCCCGACCTCGCCCACGCGACGCGACGGCGGTGGCCCGTCCCGACTGGGCGGTCTGCCCCCGATCGACACCAGCATGGGCGGACGCATCTCGGCGGCGAACTCGCCGACCGAGTGGTCGAGCATCAGCCCGTCGCTGTCGCCGCGGCGGGAGCGGGCCAACACGACCTCGTCGTACGGCAGCGGGCCGGACGTGCTGGAGGAGATCCAGAGCGCGACGTCGGAGCGGCCGCCCAACGTCAACGACGTGATGCAGTCGCTGGGCGACTCGGCGTGGGGCGAGAGTATCCGGCGTAGTTTCACGCAGCGACGACGGTCGGGCGAGTAAATATGCGTGAATTTGTTTGTGAGCCTGTGCCCATGTGGAGCATGGTATTTTTGTGTTTTTGTGTTTTTTTTTTTTTTTTTTTTTCCCTTTCGCTTAGCGTTCTGCCATTCCTGTTTGTTAGCTCTGCATCTAGACATTCTGTATCTCGGAAGGGAAGCATGCTAGAGAGGTTCCATGTACAGTACATACAGGGGGAGGAGCCAGGATCATGATAAGTGATGATGATGTTGATGATGAGATTTGGACTGAAAATACGGGTGAATTGGACTATGTGGATAGATACAGTGTGGCATTCAGTGACATTGTACTGTACAGCAAGACTCGATTCTAAGAGGTTCCTTTGTGACTCCGTAGGAACTCTGCTGCTCCCAGTAAATTGGGTCTTGAAGAATACCAATCGAAGCCAAAAGCATGGAAGAGAACTGTATCGAGCATACTGGAGTGATCTAGTCAGGTAGTCGGGTGTTGCGTTGTGTGGTGTTTGTGTTGTTTTGCAGGGTGGGCTGCCTGCCTGCCTTGGTATAGATCCATCACGTGGATGGATCGAATGCAATGCAAATGCATGACCTATCACTTTTTTGTTTCTCATCATCACTGGGAGATGACGGAGTGAGAAGAGAAAAAAAAAAAAAAAGGTCTTACATCATGATTGTCATTTTCTCCCGTCGCTAATTAGTTGGTTTATTTGGGGGGCGTGCTGTTCTTTTCCGCCTGATTTGCGTTGTTCGCCCTGATTCTTGGACCTAAATTAGATTGGGGAGAGATACTCGTCAAACGTGACCACCACCTGGCTGAGGGAATCCTTTTCGAGGGAAGCAGGGCGAGCAGGTTCACCATTCAACTGCCAGGGAGACTAACCTGAAGGGGCGGGAATTAGCTGGAATGACAGGGCGTGATCTCTGGTTTGGGGTGGGTCTTTTGCCCCGGATCGGGCAATTGGCTTGCACTGTGGTTTAGCGGACAGAGTGAAGAAGTCTTGTCCTGGACGGTACTGGACTTTCCCTAACTTATTACTGAGACGGAGTCCAAAGGAGGGAGGCAGGGTGCTTGCTCTGCTCTGCGCAGCACACAACCCCTTGAAACCGGCCCCGAGTAAGGAAACAAGAATGTTGCTGCAGTCGGAAAGAAGTTCAGCAGTTAAAGATTCGGCTGGAGCGGAAACGGGGCGGGAAGGGGGGAAGTGAAGGGAAGTGAAGGGTCTGTTTGCAGTTTAGTCATTTCCAATTATCAAGTATAAGAAGTGATGATGGATGGATCGGCCCCTGCTCTCTGGCCCTTTCCTGGTCTTGGATGTTGTCATCATCACCTGGAGTAACTCACTTATTCTCTGTGTCCTCGTATTGCGATGAGGGCTTTTCGTTCTTGAGGGGTCGTTCCACTTGACTGAGTCTGACTTATAACTACGCTACAAGATTGAAGTTGATCAATCATCCTCATCCTGGATTCATCACACGGGATCCATCAGACTGAGACTAAGTCTGCGTCTACTTGTGTTACTCGCCCGCTCTTTTTCCTCCTACCTACTGCCATTACTGCCGTCTACGCCGACTATCCATACTTCTTTCACGCACTACTTCCTACTACCTTACTCCTCCCTCCATCTCCATCCAACACGACTCACTCATCCCATATATCCTCCCCCACCTCGACCACAACCATGTCCGCCCCCAACGAAACCCAACAAACCCCCGGCCTCCACCTCCACACCACCTTTGCGCTTCCTCCGCCCTCCTCCTCATCGCAATACCACCACCACCACCACACCCCCAAACCAACCCCCAAAAGAACCACCCTCCTCACCCCCTCCACCTCGCCCACCATCTCCCCGCTCAGCTCCACAACCACCAGTCCAACCTCCTCCCCCATCTCCAACCCGGAATCCATCTCCTCCGCCTCCGACGCCTCGCTGTATACCACCGCCTCCCCGCCCCCATTCGCCTTCCACCGCTTACACTTCCCTTCCTCCCCTGGCAATGGGGGAAACACCACCCCCAGGACCGAAGCCACAAGCATCAACAAACCGCCGCAATACAAATACAACTTGAACCCACCCAGCAAGCAACCCGACCTCACCACCCCGCCCCTCAGTCCACATCTAGTCCCCTTCAACCCGGCGCCGAGGACACCGACTCAGCAGGCGCAGGCGCAGGCGCAGCACGAGCACGAGCACGAGCAGACGCACACTCCTGTCCCGGCAACCTCGCTCCTTTCTCTCTCCCCCTCGCTATCGCTATCGCTTTCCCGGTCGCCGTCGCCGTCGCCGTCGCTTTCCCTGACGCTGAACCAGCAGCAGCAGCAACTCCGACCCAGATTGCTGTCGAAAGCCGAGAAGGAGGTCCTCGAGGAACAGGGCCGCGCAGCGGGCGATGCGGTGGAGCGGGTGGGGCTGGGGATGTTGGAGCCGAGACCTGTGCCTTTGCCTTGCACGGTTGCGGCGGGCGGGATAGGGATAGGAGGGATGATCGGCAGCGGCATGGGAAGAGGCGTGGTGGCGTTTGAGGGGATTGAGGAGGTTTTGGCGGGGTGATTTACTTCCCTTCCCTCTTGGGGGGGGTGGGGGGTTGGGGGTTTGGAGCACCTGGGGATCTCCCCGGGGACTGACTGCTTCCGATGGATGATGGAGCTATAGGGTCGGTTAAGGTTCGGTCGGTTAAGGTTCGGTCGGTTCTGCTGACTTAACACGAAATGCAATTGGCGTGAGTCGAGACAACAGGCCGTGATTCTTGGAGGCCCTTTTTTTTTCGTTTTGCGCTGTGTTTGGGACTTGGATAGCGATCGATCACTGAGGGCGTTTTGTTCATGGGACATTTTGATTCATGTGTTGGAACTTTTGGACTGGATACGGGCCTTGGATACGGGCCTTGGGAGGGCACGGCGGTGGGGAGTTCTGGTGTTTCTAGCTCTGGCGGATGCTTGTGATTTTTGTTAGCTGTGTGTATGTGTGCAAGCTGTGTTCTACTTACCGGCTGCCAGTATCCTGGCTGCCGGGATATACCTTACACCTAATTTACATACTTTGGATACGATAGCCTAATGTTGACTGGCCGTTATAACATCGTGCCAGTTGGAGACGAGCGTGAGAGAACAGGTGTCTACAAGTCAAGTCTGTTTCAAATGGTTGGAGATTGTCACTTCGATTCGGGTTGTAGCCCTAGATCTATATCTCCGAATCGTGACACAATGGAAACCACTGCATGGGCTGAACGTGGTGAACACAAGGCGGTGAAGACTCCTCAGGCTGCATGCAGGCTGTCTGTAATGGTAATGGATAAGTAAAAGGCTGGAATGTACGGTACGGACATGATCAGGGTATCGTGAATCGAAGAAAGCATGTACAAAAGGGAAAATGTGCAAGGTTGTGCGTGTGCGTAGGTGTGTGTTAAAGTGGGGGACAAAGGTATGAACACCACACCACCACCAGAGGATGGACAATGCACGCATGAGTGGTTAAGGGCAATAGAGGTGGATATCCAGATCAAAAGGGTAAAAAAGGCCGGTGTGTTGAAAGACGTCCGGACATACAGGCAGGTAGGTAAGAACGCTTTTTTTTCCGGAAGCTCAAGGCTGCAGCTGTAATAGAAGGTCATCTTGCTCAAACGCGTCAGGGGAATTATCACAATACGTGGACCCGTTGGAATACTGCCAACCTACTACAAGTACTGCAGCAGCAAGGTTCAGTTCTCAGGGCATGCAAAGCAAGCAAGCAGAACCCAGTGACCAACACGATCACCCTGCAATTCATCTCACCGCACCCCCTTCTTCCTCTGATTCGGCCACAACTGACCCCGACAGTTCGCCTCGCCGCAGAGACACCGCACCGCGCAGGGATCGATTTTGGCGTCCTTGCTGACGACGACGCCGCCGCCGCCGCCGCCGCCCCCCTCAGACCCGGGGTTATAATCAAAGGTCAATTCCGTGTTCGGCGGGATCTCGCGCAGGGCAAAGAAGGCCAGATCGTACAGGTCGCGATCGGCGTGGTTGCGGGACACCGGGATCATGCGGCAGTTCGGGTTACACGAGTGGTTGATGAAGCGAGTCGGGCCGCCGAAGTTACGCCCGTCCATCACGTACTTGCAGCCGGACTCGGTGGCTTCGTCGTCTTGATCGTCCTCGTCGTTACCTTCGTTGCTGCTGCTGGCGTCCTCCTCATAGTCTTCGTACTGGCCGTTCAGGAAATCGAGACTGAAGAGGTAGGATGTACCGTGCGCTGCGTGAATCGCTTCGCGGAGATCGGCGGCCGCGGTGGTGATCACTTCGCCGGTGTAGCAGTCGATGAATTGGCCGGCGCGGATACGGTCCGGTGAGCGGAGGCCTATAGAGATGAAAGCATGCGTAAGAACGTCTCACACCGTGGGGTATGAAAAAAGAAAGAAAGACAGACAGAAAGAGACGATGGGGTTGACTAGAATTACAGGGAACTTACCAAACCCACGATCCCCCGTGTAGAAAATCTCCAGCCGCACGGTGCGTCCTTTCTGGACCACACGATTCCAGCACCCCGCATTGCACCCACACCGGTCACTGCACTCGTAGATCATGGCCTTGCGCGTCAGGAACTTCGGATCCAGCACCATCATGTGCGGGTCGTCCGGGGCGCCCCGGTACGGCACGATATTCGTGTTGCTCTCGTCCTCCTCCTTGGACAGACACAGGCAGGTCGCCGGGTCGCACGCCCCGTCGCAGGTGCACCCGGCGTTGAAGTCCTCGGACACGGGGACCACGCCCTTGCGCAGCGGGTTGGTGTTGACGAACTCGAAGTTCATGATGAAGTCCGCCAGGCGGGGCTCGGCGGCCGGGTCATAGGTGACCTCCGGTCCCCGGATGGCCCGCAGCTTGCGTTGCATCGTCTGGTGCGTCTGGTGCCGGACGTCAGGGGGTCGGGTCAGCAGCGGGCCCGGGGCGCCGAGCACCAGGGGCGTGTCGGCTCGCTTGACCCTCTTGGCCTTCGGGTAGGCGCCCTTGATGGCTTTCCTTTGGTAGGCGTCTGTCGGGTAGTAGGTCTGTGAGAGGGCTGTGGGGATATGGAGTGGGGGAGTTGGTTTGGATTCTAGGGAGGAGGAGGAAGAGGATGATGCACGGCCGTTGATGGAGGGATATCCAGGGGGTTTATGTTTCAACTGGCGAGATGATGGGGGAGGGACGATGACATCTGGGATGGTGGAATGGGGGATAGAAGCTGAAGAAGAGTCCGGGGTGGGTGAATGGTAGGCAGAAGGAGCAGTGGCTGGCCAGGCGCTGAAGCGTCGTGGACTCTGTCTGCGTCCAATACTCCGGGCCTCTTGGCTTGAGATGCGTCGGCTCGAGCTTGGTCTAATCGGCTTAGACTGGGAGGCGACACGCCGCTCGGGCTCATGATGGTTCGAGCTGGGAAAGTATTCTGACACTGCTAGAGCAGAGAATGCATCCTTTGTGTCAGACTTTCTTCTCTTCACCGGCACTGACTGCGAGACATTGAGTGCGCGGTGAGCCAGGCTGCGTGAGAGTGAAGCTGTGCTTGCGGATGGTGTCTAAAGCCCAAGTCAGCTACCATTCCCAGGGCATTCTGCCTTAACACGCTGTTTCTTTGTTTAGGGGCGGTTTTGGAAATTCAAGAATACAAAAGCATAAACTTGGACACAAGACATGCAGAACATATTGAAAAAGATAGAAAAGAAATAGGCATAAAGAAGTCCAGAAGGACTCTGTTGCTGTATAGAAAGGCAGTATAGTGATATAGCAACATAGCAACGGGTATACTCATAACAGCGGGGGATCTTATGAGAGGCGGTAACCCCCACCCCCCCCCCCCCCCCCCAAAAACCCCAGTAGCTAAGAAACGCCCCCCCCCCAAAAAGAACACAGATATGAAAATTAAAAGGACCCCAGCAAACTCACCTTATTTGACCCGTCCGACTCTGAGTCTGCCGTCAGGTCAATGAACATAGCCGACATGGTGGCCACAGTCCAGGCCAAGAAACCGCTAATGTTGTAGTGTCAAAAATCAGGCATAACAGCTCCAGATGGAGGGAAAGCGGTGTTGAGGCGGTGTTTAAAGGAAGGCTTTCAGGAGAGAGAGACAAAAAATAGTCTAGCCTCTTTAAGAAAGACCCTGATGACTCAGCTAATATCAAGTGAATGATATTTATATAGAAATCTCAAAAAGTCAGGGAATAAAACAGTTTTGATTGAACAGAATCAGTATTTTTCTTCAAAATATTGAATTTGAAGTACAAATATACCACAATAGACTAACACACACTCAAAATCCCAGAATGCCCCATATCAACTGGGAACATGGTTGTGCTGATAGCATCTCCAGCAACAATTCTGAAATGACCAATCAGTAACCTTAGATGAACTGCAAAAGTAACAGCCGGCTTCGACTCGCCCAACCGAGTCCGTTTGTGCATGGGTAAACCAAACAGCATTGGCCATGTCCAGATGCCAACCACCAGGCAAAAAAACACATTTCAAGTGTTTCAAGGCAGTCTCCCGGGGCTTATATATCCAAATATGATGTTTTAAGTTAGATAGATGCTCTGTCTGGGGCAGGATCACAGCCTGAACCTGCTTTATAGATCTTTGTTTATCAGATCATGACTAAGCAGCACACATCCTGGTCAGCATCTCAGGATATTCTTAAAAAGTTTAAAATAAAGCAGTGGTACTAGTGTCATGGAAATCACTGATGACTATTTCAGAGAATATAATATATGTCAAGCTTTAAACCCTAGCATAATTATGTGTTTTCTGGTGGCCTGGATAGTGGTTGAAATAGTGGCAACACATGGGGGATGTGCCGGGCCGTCAACTGGTCAATCTGGCGGACCTCGACTCCGAGTCTCCGGTCAACCTCGGCCAACAACGACTCGGACTTTGGGCATATGCAACACTTCTTCCAGCAATTTTGGGGTGCCCCACATCAAGCAGCCTGTGGAGTGTGTTTTTTTTTTTACAATAAAATAAGGGACTCCAGCTGTGCCAGGTAGAAACTGATTTACCTGACCTTTGATCTTCACAGAAATATATATATTTCACCAAACTTCACATCTACCTCACATTTACCTCAACTAGCACCTTCGGACTTACAGGGACATACTAAAAGCTCTCCATTAACCTAAACACAAATGAAAGGTTCCTACAAGCCTACAGACTGTGCGTGGTTCAAGCAGTTTAAAGAGCATGCCAGTCAGTAATTAGTTCACATGTCTGAAAGTTACTCCTACCTGCATGGCCTATGTACAACAGTCCCAAACAACTGTATAGGTATCGAGTATTAAGGCGAAGAGAAAAGAGACGAAATATACAACAGTGACCGATAGCAACACAAGAACAAGATCTCACCAGGTCCATGATCATCCTTGCTCAAGTCTAGTATACACCATGATAAAACATCCCCCCTAAAATAAATGAGCCAGCTCAAGGGTAATGAGAACCGAAAATTGACATAGAAAATGCTCCACAAAAGAAAACCGTCATGCTCATGCAAATGCTTCGTGGATCAAATCAATTTTGATCGGCATGCAAATGGGTTCATAACGTATCATGCAGATCAAGATACACTCAGAGTCGCAGGGCGTCCAAAATCTTCTTCGCCATCTCCCGATACTGCCACATGCCACCGGCCACTTTCTTGAACTGGATTCCATGCAGCGAGAACAGAGGTACCTTGACAATGAGAATTTCAAATCGGAGTACCAGATTCTCTCCTGTGTCACTCTGGACTCGTGTCGTTGTCTCACCCATTACACGTTCTCCAACCACCCCAAGGTCGCGACTTGGCCGAGGACCGGCTTCATCGTCAGAGCCCTCAGGAGTGGTCACAAAGCTGTGGTCAGGTGGCGCTCGGGCCCGACGCTGGGAGCGGGGCGTCTGGCGTAGCTCCTCTCTGCCTTCGTCGTGGCTCAACAACCCCCCAAAACTTATGCGCCGACGATGGCCCGAAATTTGACCCTGCCGGTCCGGGCTTGGTGGCCCAACATCCATTACTGTATCCAGGTCAATGCTCGGAGCATGACGACAACTAAAGCCTCCCTTAATCTCCGTGTAGTCGACACCCAGTTGTTTTAGAGCGCGAATGATGTCCGCTCGGATTACAGGCAAGGGCTTGCTGCTTGTGGTCGAAACACTGAAAAGACCTTTGAGGTATACGGGCTTGGACAAGTCCTCCCCTTCATTGGCACTCTCCAGAGCAGTACCTGCTCCAGTGATATCCGCATCTGTCTCTTCAGGCACATTTGCTTCTCGGGTAGCATCACGCCTGGCTCGACGGGCTTGAATGCTTTCCCGACGAGCATGCCCTAATGACATTGTCCGGGCGGTATGGCCGCGGCCTAGCTTTGTTTCCCTCGCAGCTGTCGGCTCTTTCTGTACATTGGCATAGTCGGATCCGCTGCTTGGCGGTGGTTGGCCCGTCGCGTCAGGGTCATTTCGCCGTGAACGACGAGGACGATAGTCAGCCGAGTTGACGCTAGCAGATCTTTCCAGGAACTTGTTGGACCGCGAAGCCGACTCCGCTGATCCTGGAGCCTTGAGGAAATCGTTTTGCGGGAGTTGAGTCGGCCCGGGTGGAACAGCTGTTGGAGATGGTTCTGCGCGTCGGGTCCTCTTCACACTGAACCCTCTGGATAGCGGCGAGGCCAAGTCTGCGGGTGGCTGAACGTTGAGTGCCGGGGTGTGGGGACTGCCAAGTCTTCCGCGCTCCGGGTCGCGGCTGCGCTCCTTTGTCCTGCGCGTGCTGAATCGTCTCAAAATACCCGCTGCCGTGCTTTCTTTCTTCGCTGGGGTTTCTGGCTGCGACAATGCAGGACCCGGGGAATGTCCCGTTTGCGGGCCCAGGTGAAGATTCTTGATACCATCCGCCAAGTCGTCATCACCATGCGTTCGTGCCCTAGGGCGCGACCTTCTTCCACTGTCCTTCTCTCCTGGAACGTGATACTGGTTGGTATGAGCGGCCTCCGGCGCTGGAAGATCTGGCATCTGAAGCATTGGATCCCCGGATGCGTGAGGAACTGCCAATGCTCCAGGGTTCTTTTCGGCTCTTTCTCTGTCCAGTTTCTCCTTAACCAGATAGTAGACTGAAATTAGCGGGCTGTACGCATTTATTGGGTCGTTGCCCAATTGAACGGCTTCCGCGGACGGCGCGGACAGCGTGTCCCTGCTAGCAGAGTTCCGTCGTTTGTAGAAATCGAACACCCCTCGCTTTTTCTCTGTATAGCTTGGAGCGGGTTGTTCGCGGGCGCTGACCTTTACAGCATGTTGGTAATCCTCAGACTCAATGACCTTGGTGAGCTGCGCAGTAATGTAATCGGGCGGTCCGAAGTCGAAACCCGTCATCTTCTCAATGACTTCGGCGTCTAAAGGCAGAGTTATGGGTTCTCGGTACGGTAAATAATTTTCAGGGGCGCCATTGAAGCCCTTGTTCATCCAAGGATGATTCATGATCTCAGTCAGACTTGCACGTTGTTTGGGATCAGTAACCAGCATGCGCGAGATAATATGACGACACTCTGTGGTTTGAAAATCAGTATCAAGGACGCACGATAGACTGTGGAAACCAACCTGCAGTGAGCCCTGGAGGGTACTCGAAAACGCCTTGTTTGATCTTGGCATGCAGCTTGGGCATGCTCTGATCGTCAAACGGAACTTTACCGCATACTAGAACATAGAGCACAATGCCAAAACTCCAAACATCCACCTCCGGGCCAGTGTACTGCCTTGCCTGCAGCAACTCGGGGGCAGCAAAGTAAAGACTTCCACAGAAGGTTTTGAGTTGACTTCGTGGGGAGAAGAGATTGCTGAGACCGAAATCAATGATTTTGATGTCTCCAGTCTTGCTGATAAGGATGTTCTCGATTTTCAAATCTCGATGCACGATGCTGTTGCGATGACAATAGTCCAATGCACTCGCAATTTGACGGGCAAATTTGCGTGCCTGCTTTTCTTTGAGTTTTCCATGGGAAATGATGTAGTCCAACATTTGACCCCCATTGACGAGCTCAAACAGCATGTACCAATGGTAATTGGTCCTTACTACATCCCTCATACCACAAATATAAGGATGGTTGACGAGACTGACGATAGCTGCTTCACGCGCTGTTCGAATTTCCTTCGAGCGGTCTGCCCGTTCGGCCTCGCGCGAGCTGCGGTGCTCTTCGGTCGATTGCCGAGGCACGATCTTGACGGCCACCTGAACTGCAATGAGATTCTGCAACAGAGGGCAAGCCAAATCCCAAGACTCACCTGTTCTCCTGTATCCATGTTTTTCCCAACTTTTACTTTACCCATACTGCCGGCACCTAACGTCTTGCCCAAAGCCCACTGACCGGTTGGCGTTGTGATCATTGTGCGACGTCTTGACTGGACGGGATTAGCCGGATGTAAATGAGCGGCGGCAGCCTGGGGCTGTCCTGCGACACCCTCGGGCATGACTGGGCCCGCAGTCGCCATATCAACACTGTCTCGTTGATGGCCTTGAACTGATAAATTTCTCCGGTGCTTGTTGGAGGAGGAATCGGGACGGTAGGAGGTGGGAGGGCGCTCCTGTGAACGGTCCCGCGAGGATTCCCTTCGGGGAGTAACTGGGGGAGCTCCGCGAGAAGCGTCGAAATCCCGACGGGCTATGGTGTCAAAAACAGCCTGGTTCGCAGGGGGCCGACGATCATGAGACTGAGACTTGGAATGGGATGGGAGGTGACGAGACTGGGATTGGTAGTGATATTGCGACGAGGATGGTGGTGATTGATGTTGTGGTTGTGGTTGGGAGGTTGTCACAGGTCGGACAGCAGCACTTCGGGTACGGTGAGGAAGCTCGGATGAGGGAGGACGATAGGAGGGAGATCGGGAAGAAGTCGAGTGACTGCGGACGACCGAAGGCGACGCAGTTGATGGGGCAGTAGTGGACATCACGGTGGGCACTGGACTGGAGAAATTCCGAGCCAACC